CTATCGTACTTGCAGACAGAGACGGATTTAGGGGGGCTGGATTGGGCTGTAGTCCCCCCGAACTCAGGTCCAAAGGTATTTTTCATTTTTTTTTTAAAAAAATCAGTTTTTTATGTGTAAATTTTTTTTTCCCAGCGTAGCACCCCGGTTTGAATTTTGTAGCCCGATCTTGGATCCAGAATATTCTGGATCTGTCCCTGGTTGCAATTTGTTTTTTTTTTTTTTTTTTTTTTGAAAACATTTAGCCCTTGTTTTTGATGGGATTAAAATCAGATTTTTATTAAACTTTGTCTTTTTAATTAAAAAATTATAAAATATGTGGTTGAAAAGTTAGGTATCGCATAAAATATGTTGTTAAAATTAATTATTGATTTTAACTTATATTAAAACTAAATTTAATCAGTACCAAACAGTATCATTAAATACTTTTTAAGAAAATGTATTCAGCACAATTATTTTAATAGGGAAAAAAAAGAAATAAAAACTATAGTCCATTTTAGAAGAAACATTTGAAATAAATTTAACTTGAATAATGGAGGAGGTTTTATTATAATATGCTGTAGAATACAGAAAGACTTATCACAGAAAAATGAATTAATTTATTCATGAAAGTTAAATTGATATTTTAATTTTGAGTAATTGCAGAGATTAAAATCAAAACATGAACCCTTGTCGATTTTCAAATTTTGCTGTTAAAAGATATAAATTTTTGGGAAAGGCGGGGCAGGGGCGAGCAAAGGAATTCCCCGCCAATTTTACTTCTTGTTTATTTTTATAATAATTAAATTAACTTAAATTAAATATTATATAATCCATCCGTCCAGTAAATATAGGACTCTTTTTATTTTCGAACAGATTAAGAAAATATAATTAATATATTTATTTCTTACATCTTTCCCAATAAATTCTTACATTAAATAGTAGTTTAAATAAGATTAATTTATATTTGTTGATTTTGAGTTATGTTGAATAAGGGAATATTGAAAATAATAATAATAATATAATCTAACCTTCAATAAAGAAAGTGATTTACAATTTGAAACAGACGAAAAAAGAAAAAACGTTGTCTTTATATGACGATGGGAGTAAGAATGTTTAACTTAAATAGAAAGATTTAGCCCTTGCTTGACATTCATTTTAATGATTTTCTTTTTATTTTTTTTATTTTTTTGAAAAATGAGTTTTGAAATATTGATTTCTTTGGAAAATATGTTGTTAAAAAGTAAGAAAAAATTTTAAGTTTACTTATAGAATATTTTATTGTGTAAATGTGTGGTTAAAAATGAGTTTGAAAAAAAAAATTATAGTTTTTCTTACATCTTTCCCAATATACCTTTACATTAAATAATAATTTAAAAATGATTAGTTTATACTTGTTGAATTTGATTTATATTGAAAAAGGGCATATTGAAAAACTAAAAAATATCTATACTTTTAATAATAGAAAAGTGACTTGTAATTTGGGACAAGGGAAAAAAGAAACAAACTCTGACTTTATGGGACGAAAGGAGTAAGAATCTTTAACTTAAATAGACCGATTTAGACATTGCATGACATTCATTTTAATGATTTTTTTTATTTTTATTTTTTGAAAAATGAGTTTTGAAATAGTGATTCTTTAGAAATCATGTCGATGAAAAATAGAAAAAGTAGGTTTATTTGCAGAATGTTTTATTTTATAAATGTGTGGCTAAAGATGAGTTTGAAAAAAAAAAATATAGTTGTTTCTTCTTACAACTTTCCCAATATAAACTTACATTAAGAATCCGTTTGGTACACATTAATGTAAAAATGAAAATGAAAAATATAGTCATTATGGGCCCCACATAAGAGATAGAAATTTAAATTTGGTGGCTTGGTGTGATAGATAACGATCATATTTTTCATTTTAATGAAGAAAAAATAGGAAACAAATGTAGACTAAGTAGTAGTTTAAAAATGATTAGTTTATATTTGTTGATTTTGATTTATGTTGAATAATGGCATATTGAAAAATTAAAAACATATTTGTACTTTCAATATGGTTTTTTATTTTTTTTAAAAAAACGAGTTTTAGAATAATGAATTCTTTGAAAAATATGTTGTTAAAAAGTAAGAAAAATCTTATATTTCTTTGTGGAATATTTTATTGTATAAGTGTGATTGAAAAATATTTTGAAAAATAAAAGAGAGATTGAAAGAATTTTATTTAGGACTAAGCTACAAATACAGTTTAACTCGAACCGTACATGTACAACCCCCTCACATGTGGATGAGCCCGCTCAATATAAAATTGAGGACCTCTCCATATGTGAGGGGGCTGTCATTCTAACTGGGAGTTCGGATGCACAATCATCAATACTCTTTTATTTAATGGATGTTAAAGATTGACTTGAATTTTACGAGGTAACTCATTTGAATTCGACTCTCTTGGAAAGTACAGAGGGGGGAAATCACAGAAATTAACATGGTTGATCAATAATGCAACAAGGGATTGTTTCTAGAATTTTGGGCCACGCTATACGCTCAATTCTTGTACTTTTTCTTGTGTACCACAGGAGTGGTCCCCACCCTCCCCAACACTCTACATTTCTTCCATTTTTATTGGGGTTAATTTCACAAACGGTCACTGAACTTACAGAAAAATTACAAAACGGTCATTAAAGTTAAAAACTTTTAGTAATAGTCACTTAAGTATTGGGACGCTTTCAAAAACGGTTACTGAAATTTAAAAAGTTTCTGAAACGGTCACTGAAATTTAAAAACACTTTTTTAATTTTTTTGTTACATTGTGGCAATTTTTCGGCTACTTCCAACCACCGATACTATTTTTTTTTTTGATACCGTTGGAAAGCCCACAACGTCCTCTTCAATTACCACTCAAAATCTCTCCGCAACACCAAGGAATTCGACCAGAAAATTACCGCAAAAGTCGCCCCCACAAAATCTAAAAATCTGCCTAGATTTTCAGATTTTTGGGCGATATTTACGGCAATTTTCCAGCGACTTTCGACCACCAATACCGTCAAATTTTGATATCGTTGAAAATTCCACAATGTCCTCTTCAATTACCATCTAAAATCTCCCCCCCAAACTCCAAAGGATTAGGCTGAAATAAACCCGCAAAGTCGGCATCCCAAAAAGGCGAAAATCTGGGATGCCAACTTTGTGAGTTTATTCCGGCCGAATCCTTTGGAATTTTGGGGAGATTTTGGATTCTAATTAAAGAGGGCATTGTGGGCTTTCCAAAGGTATCAAAATTTAGCTATTTTGGTGGTCAGAAGTTGTCAAAAAATCGCCGCAAAAGTCCACCAAAAATCTGAAAATTTGGGCAGATTTTTGCCTTTTCGGGTAGCCAATTTTGTGGGTTTATTTCGACCGAATCCTTTGGAATTTGGGGGAGATTTTTTGTTCTAATTGAAGAGAACATTGTATGCTTTCCAACAGTATCAAAATCCGCTGCTATCGGTGGTCGGAAGTGGTAGAAAAATTGCCGCAAAAATAGCTCAAAATTTTTTAAATTTCAGTGACTATTTTTGAAAGCGTCCCAATACTTAAGTGACCGTTATTGAAGGTTTTAAACTTCAGTGACCATTTTGTAATTTTTCTATAAGCTCAGTGACCATTTGTGAAATTAACCTATTTTTATTTTGATTTGGCTTTCAACCGTCTCTCTACCCCGATCACTTTAATAAAATTTAACTTTTCAACCACCCAAAATCTCACAATTAATATTTATCGACCTATATAATATTTATAATATTTGTTGACCCAAAAAATACGTCAACAGAATTTCAACTTTGTCCCCTCCACGTAAATATCACATGTACACTGAACACTCTGTTAAGAGATAAATGTCATCAATTAAGAAAAATATCTGACAACCATTTGCACATCAACGATCAAGTTAGCAGTCGGACGAAAATAAAGAGAGTCCAAGAGAGAGAGGAGTTTGGTTAGGATTAAAAAACATTCCTTGGAATGAAATGGATCACATATATATGAGTAAAATATAAAGGAAAAATTCATAATTAAAAGGTTACTTATCACCGATTTCAAAACTAAGCCCTTGTTTGAGCCCCATTTTTTTTTTTTATCAAAATACATTATTCAACAGTGATTTGACATCATTTCAACCACACATTTTTCAATAGAATAATATTACACGCAAATCGATAACTTTTCATCATTTTTTAACCACACGTTCTATATCATAATACTATTTCAAAATTCATTTTTCTAGAAAAATGTGGCTCAAACATCCCCTAAAAATAAAGGTTTCAAATTTTAAAAATCATATCTTTATTAAAATTTATTTATGATTTAATTAATTAATTATGTATTTTATTAATTAGATGTATTAATGCCACAAATCCATACAATCTGGTCACAAATGAGCGATTTAATTAGTTACATATTATTTTTAGGTTACAAATAAGAAGTTTTATCTAACACAAATTATTTTAAGAGATCACTTCTGTAATTTACTTCTAGAAGAAAGCGCAACCGGCAAATGTATCAACTTTTGCTCCCCTTGTATTTAATAATTAGGTCAATAATTAATAGCAAGTCATGATTTTAAATTTAATAATTAGTACAAAATAGTAATTTAATAGTTTTCCATAAAATAATAAAAAACTTAAATAAAAAAAAATGAAAAACCATCTTCTTCTTCCTCACCCCATCCCCACCCCACAGCCTCAACCCAATAGTATTCCCCGACGTCTGGTGTTCCTCCGCCATGGATTCCTTGGACTGTCTGCAATTGGACACGTCTCATATTTCTGGGTCTATTGAAATGGGAGAAAGAAAACTTTCATTAAACCAAATGAGTTACACAGCGTGAGTATAAATACAATGATTACCAACTACCTATCTAACCATGCAACTAATACAATGATTACACGTGGCTAACCATCACTAACTAACTAACTTCCTAACTAATTTGCTTACAGCTGGATAAACCGAACTGAGCTAGGGAATACCGAGCTGAGCTGGGGAATTTCTTCTGTTAGTCCCCTTCAAGATGGACAGTGGGGATTGATGATGGACATCTTGGACATTAGTGGGAATAGAAGATTGGCAGGAAGAGGCTTCGTAAAGACATCTGTTAGCTGATTTTGAGTTTGCACTGGCATCAATTTGACGAATCCATCATTGATCCTATCACGAATGAAGTGACAATCTATTTCTATATGTTTGGTTCGTTCATGGAAAATGGGATTGCTCGCAATGTGGATGGCAGCTTGATTATCACAGAAAATGAGAGCTGGAGCAGAGGAAGAAATATGAAAATCTTGAAGCAACTGAGAGATCCAGATGAGTTCACTGGTAGTGGAGGCCAAGGCACGATATTCAGCTTCAGCTGAAAACCTTGATATTGTGGTTTGCTTCTTAGCCTTCCAAGATACTTGAGAGTCACCAAGAAATACACAATAGCCTGTCACAGATTTCCTGGTGTCCAGACATGCACCCCAGTCAGCATCAGAGAAAGCACGAATCTGAAGTGAAGAGTTAGCTGAAAATAAAAGTCCTTGTCCTGGAGATGCCTTGAGATATTGCAAGAGGTGATGAGCAACTTCAAGATGAGGCTTTCTAGGCTGAGCAACGAACTGACTAAGTTTATGAACTGCAAAGGTAATATCCGGTCTTGATATAGTCAAGTATAGAAGTCTGCCAATCAATCTTCTAAAGCTAGAAGCATCAGGAAGAAGGTCCTCCTCAAAAGAGAAAAGTTTGATTTTGGGATCCATGGGCAGTGTGGCTGGCTTGCAAGCCAAAAAACCTGTGTCCTCCAACAATTGTAATGTATAGTGACGTTGAGAGAGCAAGATGCCTTTGTGTGAGGAGGCAATCTCCAAGCCCAGAAAGTACTTTAAATGTCCAAGATCTTTGAATTTGAAAAGACTATGTAATAGGGCTTTTAAAGAATTTATAGCCATAATATTTGATCCTGTAATGATTATGTCGTCGACATAGACTAGAAGAGCAACAAATGTATTTCCAGATCCCTTTGTAAACAATGAATAATCCGACTTTGATTGGATGTAACCATGGGAAATAAGAGCATTAGAGAATTTTGCAAACCATTGCCTTGACGCCTGCTTTAAGCCGGAGATGGATTTATTTAATCGACATACCAACTTCTTCCCCAGAGAACCATCTTTGCAATGTGTATTATAACCCAAAGGCAGATCCATAAAGATTTCTTCGAAAAGATCACCATTTAGAAATGCGTTATTAACATCCAATTGGGTAATCTGCTACCTATTTATAGCAGCAATGGCAAGAAAGATCTTTACAGTCACAAGCTTAGTCACCGGAGAAAATGTATCAATAAAATCCAAGCCTTCCTGTTGGGTGTGTCCCTTGGCCACCAAACGTGCCTTATACCTGTCAACACTTCCATCAGGTTTGTGCTTGATCTTGTATACCCACTTGCAGCCTATGGAATGCTTGTCTCTGGGCAAGGGAACTACAGACCATGTGTTGTTAAGTTCCATCGCTTCTAGCTCATCTTTCATTGCCTTTTTCCAATGATCAAAGTGAACAGCCTGATGATAAAATCGGGGTTCAGAACTGGAAGATACATTAAGTAGGTATGTACGGTGTGAAGGAGAAAAGGCCTTATAGGAAAGGTATTTTGTTAAGGGGTAAGGGGTATTGTGATCAGAAACTGGATCAATGTTAGAGAGAAGATTGCAATGGAATTCTTGAAGGTAAGATGGTGGTCTACAAACTCTAGTTGATCTTCGAGTGACTATTTATGGAGAAGTGTTAGATGAATGATCATTAATAGGTGCATTGTCAGGGCTTTGGAAGGGTGGATCTTGGACTGTGGAGTCATCATTATGAGGCTGAAAAGAAGTTGGACAGGGGGCAATATCAATTGCAGACTTAGGTAAAACAAGGTTAGGAAATGGGTCAATTAATTCAGATTCATGTGGAATAGAATGAAAGGGAAAGAATTTTTCATGGAAAATCACATCCCTTGAAACAAAGAATGTTTTGGAGACAATATCATATAGTTTATACCCTTTAATTCCAGGTGGATAACCAATAAAGACACAAGCTGAGGCTCTTGGGTGAAATTTTGTGCGATGAGCTGTCAAAGTGGATGCAAAACATAGGCATCCAAATACCCTTAGGGCATCATGCTGGACTGCAGTTTCATATAGAAGAAAGAAAGGAGTTTTACTGTGTAGGATTGGAGATGGGGTTCGATTAATGAGGAATGTGGCTGTGAGGAGACAATCTCCCCAGAATTGGATAGGGACACGAGATTGGAAATATAAAGCCCTTGCCACATTAAGCAAATGTTGGTGTTTCCTTTCAACTACTGAATTTTGCTCTGGACGTTCAACACATGAGAATTGATGTATAACTCCTTTGGAGGCAAAAAAATTCAGTAAACTTCAATTCAGGAGCATTATCTGATCTAAATTTCTTGATCACTTTGCTAAACTGAGTTTCAATCATGTTGAAGAACCTTGGAATAATGTGACTAACATCAGATTTACACTTCATCAAGTAAGTCCATGTGAAGCGTGTGCAATCATCAACCAAGGTGAGGAAGAATCTGTGACCAGCGTGTGTTGGGGCATGGTATGGTCCCCAAGTATCACAATAAATTAGATCAAAAGCTTGTGAAGACAGATGATTATTCGAAGTAAAAGAAAGTCTCCTTTGTTTAGCCAAAGGACAGATAAAGCATGGAATTGAATCACTAGTCTTGTGATTATTACAACTGATATCTAAATTGTCTTTTAATATTTCTAACTTTTGAAAGGACAAATGTCCAAGCCTGTTATGCCATGTATCCATAGTTACAACATTTATTGCAGAACAGATTGAAAACAAAGCATCATTATTTTGAACAAAAGAAGATTGGGCAGCATCCAATACGTATAGATCAGCTATCCTTTTACCCTTGCCAATCGTCTTCAAAGTGTTGAGGTCCTGAATAATGCAAAAATTAGTGAGAAAACTAACATTTACAGAAGCTTTCCTTGTTATGGAGCTGACAGAGAGGAGGTCGAATTTGAGCATAGGAGCATATAATACATCTTGAATCACCAGATTTGAGCTTATTTTCACAGTGCCAGTGAAATGTATAGAAAGCCTTTCATGATTAGGCAGAGTAATAAATGCATTCTGAATTGGATTCATCAAAAGGAAAGCTGACTTATTACATCATATGTGACTTGTGGCCCCTGAATCCACTACCCAGCAAATTTTGGAATTAAATGTTGGCTGATGAGATATAGATAAGCATGTACCTGATATGTGTACAGAATTAGCTCCTGCCTCAGTGTCAGTTTTGGTAGTTGTGAGGTGATTGCTCAACATATTCATCAGCTGCTGGTATTGAGTAGAGTTTAATGTCTGCATAAATTCTCCAACGTTGCCATTTGTTTGTTCAGGAATAAACTCAGATACTTGGTTTGAAACGGCATTATTCATTTGGCTGCTGCTGGAGGATGATTGAATTGGATAAGGCTTTTGTTTTGCTTTATATCCAGGTGGATATCCATGCAATTTGTAGCATTTGTCAACTACGTGACATGTATACCCGCAATATGTGCAAACGGGTCTCTCCTTCCTTTAATGCTTGCTACTGTGAGTTTGGTTCACACCAGGTTTCTTGGCGTCATTCTTGACATAGAATGCCATTGAATTGACATTACCAGTGGTATTAATATTTGCATTAATACTTCTTTGATGTTCCTCTTGGGATATAAGGGCAAAAGCTTTATTTATGGATGGAATAGGATCCATCATCAGTAGCCGGCCACGCACTTGAGCAAAAGAATCATTCAGCCCCATCAAGAAGCACATAACGTATTCCATATGATAGTAATCTGCCAGCTTCTTTGTTCCTCCACAATTGCACTTCCCACAGGTGCATAGTGGTCTGTGATTACTAAGCTCCTCCCAAATAGTTTTCAATTTTGTGAAATACACACTTACAGAAGATTGACCTTGGATATGATTCATCAGTTCCTGCCTTAACTGGAATATGCGAGGGGCATTCTTTTGCTGGTATCTTTCCTTGAGATCATCCCAGATCTCTTGCACAGATTCAGCATAGATAATACTAGCTGAAATCTCTTTAGAAACTGAGTTGAGAATCCACGAAATCACCATGTTATTGTTTCGGATCCAGGCATTTAGCAAATCATCATTGGCTTCAGGTTTTGAAATTGATCCATTGATAAAATCGATCTTGTTTTTCACAGATAAAGCAATGGTCATCGCACGGCTCCAGGAAGCATAATTCTCTCCTATCAAAGGCTGTGAGACGAGAACTAAGCCTGGGCTATCAGAATGATGTAGAAAATAGGGGCTCGATCCATCCTCAATCGCGGAATTGCTCATCGAAGATGAAGAGAAATTGAGCGATTGATTTTGATTCACAAATTCTGCCATTTGAAAAAATTGCAGGTAATTACGATGAAGAAAGGGAAGCAATCTATTGCTCTGATACCATATTGAAATGGGAGAAAGAAAACTTTCATTAAACCAAATGAGTTACACACCGTGAGTATAAATACAATGATTACCAACTAACTATCTAACCATGCAACTAAAACAATGATTACACGTGGCTAACCATCACTAACTAACTAACTTCCTAACTGATTTGTTTACAGCTGGATAAACCTAACTGAGCTGGGGAATACCGAGCTGAGCTGGGAAATTTCTTCTGTTAGGGTCTTTGCTTCGAGTCTTCGACTATGCTCTTGAAACTCCATAAGAATTATATCCATTTCTCAAATACTTTGCTTGTACCTTTGACTTCCTAAGTTTGTAAATTGTATCTTTGCTTCAATTTACTTAAGTTCGTCTTTTAGCAAAAACCCATCAATTACTTTGCTCTTCCATCAACATCTTCTTTTTTTCTTTTCCCCATAGTTCTGATCTAAATTTCTTGAAAAAGAAGAGAAAAAGGGAAGTCAGTTTTTGTATGTGTGAAACTTTTTTCGGCTTACCATTAATACCCTTGCTTTGGAAAATCAAAATTGGGAAAAATGGCGGCTTTTGTTAGTGGGATTGCTGCTATCAACAATCTTCGGTTTATTCACGGTTCTTTGTCAAGACAGTATAATTTTCTCGTGCAAGAATTTCATTTCTAGAGAGCCCTGGTCCTGCAATTTTATTTTCATTGAAGAATTTAAAAGAGGAAGCTATTGGTGCCCACGTATTAGTGTGTGGTGGTGCACCAAATGAGCATATATTAATGACGACGGCGGAGCACCATTGGTTAGAGGGAGTGGGAGTGGGAGTGGGGTGAGGAAGAAGAAGATGGGGTTTCCCTTTTTTTTTGTTTTTGTTTTTGTTTTTGATTAAGTTTTTTATTATTTTATAGGAAAATATTAAATTACTATTTTGTCCTTTTAAAATTGAGTAAAATGTGGTCAAAATCACTTTTTTTTATGTCAACTTTTTTTTGGATGGATTCCATCCAAAAGGGCTTGAGATGTAACGTTTTAAAATGTTTGGGGTGATAGTTGCAACAAATAAAAGGTTAAGGGGGAACTTTACTATTGTTTAAAAGGTTCGGGGCTTCTACTGCAATTATCCCTTTGTATAATGTATTTACCGTGACTTTGTAGTGGGAATCTGACGTGGGATAGGGAACAATAAAAACTGGTGGGAATCAAATTTGTGGTGATTTTCAATAAATTTATTATTTTTTATCTCAATTTTATTTAATAAAAAATAAAAAAACTCTCCAAATATTTTTAACGATATTATACTATTATTTAACTACTTGGTTCAATTCGACCCTTTAATCTTTGACTCTTTCACGTTTTCAAGCTGGTCGGAGTTTTAAAACATTGCTTTAAAGTTACATAGACCAATCCAGTATCCAAACACTAACTTGTAAACAAATCAATCCTTTCATGCCAAAAAAAAGTAGTGCACATAAATTGCATTCGCTTCTACGCAAACAACTACTAATGTTTAAACTATTTATGGTGTATTGTAGTGAGGACCAAATAGTACTATCCAGATGAAAAATAAGTAATTTCTTATACGAATAGACAAGTGAACTCAATCATCTATTTACTCATCACACAATCTTCACCAAACAAGTAAACCATTCTTTCTGATCTCCATGGATCTTCTTCAAACTCTAATTCTTGTTTTTTATTCTGCAAAAGCTTGGCTCTGCAAATGGGGCATGTTTGATGGCCTTGATCGATCCAACAGTCCAGGCACTCACTGTGGAACACATGCACACAATTCCCAAGTTCCCTCACCTTGTCACAACTCTCTATGTTATCCAAACACACTGCACAACAGGGATCAAGATCTCGTTTTTGGGTTCCGACCTGCGATATAAAATTTCTGTATTCATCAATCTTGAGTTGCTTCTTGATTGTTGTGTTTGTAATGTAAAAAGGGAGTGATACTAATGAAGCAGATGGACGGTATTCAATCGAAGGATCAGGGTTTTTGCTGATATTTTGTGTATAGAGTGGAGAAAATAGTCCTTTAATGGTCCGTTTGATATGGCTAACTATGTAATCATGGAGGGATTTTATGGTACAGAATGAAGATTCCATGGTGGGATGTCAAGAAAATGCGACTTCAGAGAGAAGGAACAAATATTGGCAAATTGATCAGAGAGGAAAACTATTTTTTTTGGAACAAATTATAAGCATTTTGGTTTGGCCTATTGAGGTATTAAATGCTTGATTGCGACTCCATCTAACGTCAAGACAACTAACGAAAAAAAAAAAAGAAAAAAAAAGGAAAATGGCAGAAGACGCGAAGTCAATTATTAAAGAAGAAGGAAATGTAAACACACAGACATCAATTTTATGTGGATATTATTTGATGATACCAATATTGTATACCCGAGGACCATTTCCTCGAGGACTCCATACGTACTCCGCCCACTTTTCTGCCAAATGTCCTCGAGATTTTTCTGGTCCTCGAGGTATTTTGGTCCTCGAGGAAATCTCATGCGAATATAAAAATTATCCCATGGTCCTCGAGAATATATCCTCGGGACATATTCCATCAACAGATCTTCGAGATCTATGTGCGTAACAAACGGACACCTAAACACCCAAAAACTCTATATCAACTCTTATACCCCTAGTCAAACAATTTCATTACAAGTAGGACATTCCTCACAAACAGGACTCCATTGGATAAATACATCCAACTGGCGCAATCCTACTAGGAGTACACTACCTACCTCTATAAATATAGAACCTTGGGCCATTATTCAGATACGTTTTCATTATTCTTCAGTTTATAGCTTCACGTATATAATTCCCTTTCTGACTTAAGTATCGGAGGGGCAACGAGAACATACCTCGTTGCCTTTGTTTCAGGTACCGAAAAACTACGATCATGATCAATCAAAATCACCAAGCTCGGGAAATCAACAGATACGATTTTTGGTAGCATCATTATTAATAATAATAATCCAGGAAGATTGATCATTGTGGTGATTTTCTTAAAGCGAAAAATCTACAGACCCCAATTCTTAGCACACGCAGCCGCATGATATTAAGGGGAAGCCACGTTCAAAAGAAGTAGCAGCGAGGAATACAGAAAAGAAAACGAGAAATAGGAATAATAGAGGTCATTTGGGAAGTCAAATCATTGTCGATTATGGTTCAGATTTTAACTAGAAAATCTTAGCAACACGATCTACAGTCATGTTTGTCTTTATTTTATTAAGTGATGTGTTTTCATGACAATACCAGAGAGGGGCGGACCCATGAAGCCAATGGACCCTTAATTTTTTACATTCACATAATTTTTAATCCATAATTTTTACATAATTCTATCTCATCCACACTGAATTATGTTCTTGGGTCCACCCCTAATGCCAAACATAAATTGGTAAAATCTTAGCAGCATGCTCTTTAGTAACTCTATATATTTATATATAAGCAAAATCATCAAATGGAAAACATATTGAGAACTTTTTCAAAAGAATCAAAACCTTGTCGGCCATGTCGCTAAGATTTGATTAGAGAGAAAATTATAGATGTTTTAGGCTTTTATCTCTACTTTTAAATCTACTTAATATTTGGAAGAAATAGTAATTTTATTCAATACTATTGTTGTCAAGTAACAATTTAAATGACAATTACATGTCATTAAATGACATATTTACTTAAATGTAATGTCACATGATTCATTTAATTGAATTTACTAAGTGTTACATCTAGACTAGTATTCTAGCACCATTGGTGCTAGATAATATCATTCATTTCAAAATGATTGATGCAAAAGTAAGAAAGATTTGACGTAAAAAGACAAAAAAAAAAATGTAAGATGAGGAAGCTACGTGCTAGCTTGTGAGGAAATTAGCGCATAATTAAAGAGATCAAGAAATAAATATAAGTTTTGTCTAATTAATTTTATCAATTATAGTAATAGCATTCATACCATGATACTGAAAATATGGAGAAAAGAAAAGAAAATGTGCACCTTAGAATACCAAAGGAGAAATGACTCACCAAACAATGTTGTTTGCGTCTTACAATTAGTAATCTTTTATTCTTTGTATTACATGTTCATAATAATCACATGATATGATGAGATATAATTTGGTCAGATTTTTTTTTTATTCAAATAAAAAATAAAATCTTTTTAAATATCTTTTTGACACATCATCTGTACATAAAATATTAGGTGACTTCATTATGTACAAGTAACATTATTCATCTTTTATTATTGTAGACATCTTTTTAAAAAGTTTTCTTTTAATAAAGCCAATTCAATCAATGAAAATCAGATCAAAAGCAACAAAGGATCTTATCTCCATGAAATGATTTGGCTTGCACTTTCCACTTAACTAATTCGAAAGGATGCAAAATATAATCCTCTTTGGTATACTCATAGTCAACGTTTTCTTGTTCCCACTTATATTTAATCTAATAGTGATGCTATACGTACAGGTACGAGTTCACCCAACATTTCTCTTAGTCTAATAGTTCGGACTATGGGTTAAGAAGCATTAGGAAACTAAGTCAAGTATTAATCTTTTGGTCCAAGCACTGGACAAATTTAATTTATATAGATTTGAATAAGAACAAATAAGATGGGATGTCATTTTTACATAGATTTCGTAATCTACATAATATTTATTTCTTCAAATCATCCAAACATTTTTGTAAATTAATAGCATGTTTGGGAAAGACTTAAAAATGGATTAAATCATGAATAGATAGAATAATTGGCGATTAAATGAAAAATATTTGTGGGTTGTTCGAGATATGTGGGTAAAAGTGAACTTGGTGTTTATAAATAGTTTATAAACATGATATAGTACATAGGCTAAGTAAAGTTGATGAGAATGCATAATTTTTATTTTGCACGAATATTGAACCATCTAAAAAATTCTTTTTAAATCAAGCAAAGTTTGCATGACGAAATGATGATATATTATTTACTAAAAAATTTAGTGGGAAACAAATTTCACCTTGTCCTAAAAATAATGTTAGTTAGAAAATTTCGCTTTAAAGAATATTCATTTTATAGTTAAAAAATGTTGCACCATCTATAATTTGTTAGATATTGCATATGGTTCATAATTATTGTCCATTGTTTTCTAACTAATATTCAAGTAAAATAAATTTGCGTTCATTAATCATCTTATCTAAAAGTTTAAATGTTATTGTGACGAATTCATATACTTTATTGTATGTTTGGTACATGTAATAGATAGTGATGATATTTGAGCTTTCCAATGAAGGATTGCAAATTCTCTCCGAAAAGGAAATAGATTAAAGTTACGATGGCAATCTCACACTTCTAAATTTGTGTCTTCGGTAGAACACCTTCACACCGACAATCTTCTACGTATATAGGATTATTACGACAACTTCATAAATGTATGAGATACTCAATATACACTTGAATTAATAGGATTTCAATGCATTCTATAGATCGTCGTTTACGTGAAATAAAATGGAAAGATTGAGTGTTGCACGGTGCCTAATAAATGTTGGAAATCTACTTCAAATGCGCGGCTAAAAATAAAATAAATCTCAATTACCACTAATGATCTCTTTGTGTTTAGATAGAAATTGTGATAGAAAATGTATCTTTGAAGAGATCTGCAAACATTTTGCTTTTCCTTTTGTTCCAGCAACATCAATCTGCCATTCACTGCTGTCCAATTGTCCAGTTTCCAGTGGTAATCCACACAAAGAAATAGATTATGAGAACTATAATTTTTTTTGTGCTAGCAGGAATAATGAATTTTCTCTACAAATTCAAAACTCTAGCTACGTATTTATACAAACACAAACGGGATTGGCCCATCTCGTAACCCAGTCCAAGATTTAACTAACTTATTTAATTAAATTCGGTTCATAAATTAATTAATCCAATTAATGATTTTGGGCCAATAAATAAGTAACTCAATTAATTAAATTATCAAATACTTGTTAAATTAATTAATTGGTAAAACACAATCTTCCAGTTCTCCTTTTTGTGTGTGACCCATCAGGTTCCTAATCACGATGCCGACGTAAATTATTATTTTGATCTAATCAAAATTGATAAATTAAAACACACTTTTAATTTAGCACTTGCTCACGTTCGCCGTTCTAGATTGATATTTAGCAATGTATCAAAACAATACATGTGACGAAAAATGTCACGTGGTATGATAAAACCAACTTTTTCGTTTACCATGAAATTATAATCTCTTCGTCAATATGATCCGATCAATTACGAGATATGGAAGTGTGTCAATCCCGATTATCGATCATATCTTTCATTCCACTATTAAATATATATAAGTCGAAAACTCTTTTTCGACTTCTGAGTACATATTGGTCAAGGATTTCGTTATCGACTCAATTGAATGAAATGCATATCATATATTCTTATTATCTAAGAGTGACGAATCCTCTATTAATTATTTACAACCTTCATACGATTCTTAACATACCCCAACGATGTCGTATTAGCGATCCTTGACAGAGCAACATCCAACACCGTCAAAGTATAACTGTCCTTATATAAAGCACTATGACGACCTCAAGTCAAAGGACCAATTCCACTACCGAACGTTAGATATTAACCACTGACACTTAGATAGTTATCCATGTGAAATCTCTTAGCAGGTCTTCAATATTTTGTTTTATAACAAAACATCCACGTGTTCATTCAAGTGTCACCACACTTTAGTTTGAGAGATCAGCTACTTACTTCACAAGTCAGAAATGCCACACGTGATGATCTATCCGTATTTCTTCATTACTTACGACGACGGATGATTTAAGATTCAATCATATATAATTTGTATCTCACAATCACAACTCCTTGTGATTAACAATTTACTAAAATTTGAATCTACGGACTTCATTATGTAATTCAATTGAATATTAGTTATTTAAATAATAGATCTGTCATAAATTGTATCAACTATATATTAAAAGTGTTTATGTCCAAAGTAGATTAGATTTAAGGCATAACACTTACAATAAATAGACAGTTAAGTTTAAAATTCATCTTCATTGAATTCCGTGTACAATTCAAATTTATTTAATATAAGAGAAAAATATACAAGAAGTAGAAGGAAGAAAAAGAGACTCCACATTTTGTCAACTCGCTCTGTTTAATCGAGTTCTTAGATCTAGGCAAAGCTGTAAACATTGTCTACTTGTGCTTCATCACGTTAGCTTGACGGTGTCTCAATCAACTTGTATTAGAGATGAATTTTTCTAAACAACGTCCATTTTTGTTTATGTGATACACTTTTTAAGCAATCCAAGGTTTCAATGGAAATGCCACGAGAAAACACTAAAAAATTTGAGCCACTATTCACGGCATTGGTCGAGGGAACACAATTTAATGGAAATTCAAATCCTCACCAAACAAGTAAATCATTCTCTCTCTCCTCCATGGATCTTCTCCATTACACTTGAACTTCTCTCCTTGATCATCAGGCAACATATTTGATCTAGAAATAGGGCAAGTTTCTTTGCCTTTATCAATCCAAGCATCAATGCATTCTCCATGAAAAACGTGAAAGCAATTTCCCAACTCTCTAACCTTATCACATCCACTGATGAAATTCAACACACTGCACAGAAACTGAAATTATCTTTGGATCCTAACTTCTTTATGATGCGACTGCATTCCACCATTGGTAGATCTCGACCGTTGATTGATCCTGAGCTGAAGTCGATCGGGACGGGGACGGGGACGAGTAGAGGCGATGGCCGATGTTCTGATGCAGTTTCACTTTTTTCTTGCTTTGACATGTGAATGAGAATGCTTTGCAGAAATTTAAGAGCAGTGATTAGGTTGATGATAAGAGAAATAAAAGTCATTAGCGTAGGAACAAGTTATGGTTGATATTTGCTTCTTGAAAGTATTGTTGATATAAGGAGTGGATATATTTTTAGAAGTCAGAAGGGTTGATAAGAAGCAAGCGCGTCTATAGATAAAAAATAGAGTTTTTAATAGATTTTAATAAACATTAAATGTGTAGTTGAAAATTAGTTGTGGATCTCATCAAATGTATGATAATATATGGTCATGTTTGAGCCACATTTAAAAAAAAAATACATTTTTAGACGGTGATTTGACATTATTTTAATCACACATTCTTTAATAAAATAATATTACACGTAAATTCAAAATTTTTCTTTATATTTTAATCACACATTTCCCATCAATACATTATTCAAAAATACATTTTAAGAAATATAATGTGACTCAAACAAAGGCATATATATATATATATATATCCCTTGTTTGAGCCCCATTTTTTTCAAAAAAAATATATTCTTAAACAGTGTTTTGACATTATTTCAATCACACATTTTTCAATAAAATAATATTACACATTAATCCAAAATATTTCTTTTTTTTTAACCACACATTTCTCATCAATACACTATTCAAAAATTCATTTTCTCAATCAAAATGGGGCTCAAACAAGGGTATATTATTGTGGGTCTCATCAAATGTAAATGTCTCAACAAATATTGGTTGAATGTGTTATTAACATCAATCATTTGAGGCCGTACAAGTCTTGTATTCTTTGTTAATCGTACAAAACAAAAAACAAAAAAGAAATAAAAAAATTACAAAACAAAAAAAAAAAAACCACAAATTTTTTATTTCTTAATTTGGAAAAAAAAAAAAAAACCACAAATTTTTTATTTCTTAATTTGGAAAAAAAAAAAAAAATCCTTATCTCTTTGAACTATGGTTTTCATTAAATGTCAACTGTAAAAGAGTTCTAACAATAAAATATTTTTCTATTGTTTAAGACCAAAAAAATATCTTCCCTATCGTCCCTATAAGACGAAGTGAAATTATATTAAAGAAAACTAGTAAAACTTTTGGAACGTCCAACTCTGGTCACCATTTGTTGATGCGAGGGTATTTTATGGTTATAGTATAACTGGTGAGAAATTTTTCACAATCATCTGTGTGATTCAGCTCAATATCGATTCTGATAGTGTTTTGCTTCTGGCGTGATATCTGCATATCTTCATGGTCGATATTAGGGCTCTTGAGAACACAACAAACTTTTGAATTTTTTTAAACCAAGAGGAAAATTCCCCGGTTTAAGGTAGATAAAATGATAATTATTGGTACCGCCCTTGCAAAAAGTGATGTCTGACTTTAATGTGTAATACTTCAAGCTTCTTGTGCCTCACATCTCGAATGTGAGTAACACATCTTTGTAAAGTATCCCATCGACTATTTTGCGAATTACAGAAGAGGAAAAACAGAGCAATTAAGCTATTTGTACAATTTTTATTCACAAGCAATCTTGATATTGTCAAAATTCGGGCCGTTGATTTGAAAAACGATTTTTAACGATTTTTAAAATGGATGAACGTGATGCTGACAAATATGAAATTGTCAGTCAAGGTTGTATAAGTGGCATGATTCAAAATGAAAGGTTTCGGATCTCTATGGTCTGATAAGGCTCCGATGCTTGCTGCCAATGATGATTCTCTTGTTTTGGTTTGGTTCTTATTTTTAAAACTAATAAAAAAATTGTACTTAAGTACATAATTTTCCCTACATTCTAATGATACATTCTCCAAAAATATTATTTTTTTCACAAAAATCTATTTTCACAAAATCTTTACTTTAATGGGACTGTTAACAACTTTGTATTGGGGGGGGGGGGGGGGGGGGGTTTTCTTTCATTGTTGTTATATTTTTTGGGGGGGGGGGGGGGGGGGGAAAATTTTCCTTCAATTCGACTGTTCATGCTGGAGAGGCACTCTACTGATGCGAACAGAAATGGAAATTCCCTTCATTTGTTTTTTGCCTAGAATATAAAAAGCTAATAAATAATAAGATCGAAGAGATTATTTGAGAAAATGGATGATTTTTAAAAAATGCTTGGTTTGAAAACGTTTAGGGACCGGTGGGTATCCCCCCAAACATGGGTTAATTTTAGTGGTGTCAAAATGCATCGGGCAGTTTAGGTTTAGGGTGATCCACCCCGTTAAAATTGGATCGAAACAAACTCAATAAATTTGGGTTTTATTATTTAACCTCGACAACACATGAGGGCTGATCCAGTTGGCTAGATTATCAAAAAAATTAATACTTAAAAGTAAATTAAAAGTATTGTTGAGCTCATTTTAAGTTTCAAATCTAACAAATTTTTTCTAAAATCTAATATAATTTTGTCATAGAAAGAAGGGTAATTGATAAGTGTATTTCGTACACTTATGTCATTAAATTGGAGTATTTGTTAGTGATTTGGATAAATTATAGCAAGTATTAATCTTATGCCACCGTTTATCTATAGGAAATTAAGATTGGACGATCCAAAAGCAACATTAGTAATCCTACAGCTGGTTGATAGGACACCCAACCATTCTTATGGAGTAGTAGAGGATATACTCATCAAAGTTGGAGATCACTCTTTCTAGTTGATTTCATTACCCTTGATATAGATGCTCAAAATATTCTGTATATTTTGGACAGACCAATCTTATCAACTGCACGAGCATTAATGGATTTTGGAAAAGGTGAAATAATCTTAAGGGTAGAAGAAAAACAACAAAGTTTCACCATGAATAACTCCACTTAAGCAACCATCAGACATTGAGGAGTGTAAAAGGATAGACCATCGGAGAAGTGACGAGAACAAGAAGGAAAAGGTGAAATAGTTGGCCAGACAACAATGAAAATCTTGTAATCTGGAGATTCAAAGATGAATTGAATAATAATTGTCAATAAAGCCGGTGAAAGGTTGAAAACTTTCTTTTCAAGCCACTATAAATAGTCAAAACAACAAAGTCAAGCGAATAACTAAAATAAGCACTTACTAAAAGGCAGCCCAATTTTCTTTCTTTTTATTTATTTTTGCTTTCTAGAATATAGGATTAGTAAATTTTATTACTTTTAGTAGTTTAGTAAATTTTATTGCTTTTAGTAGTATATGGTATCTTCATCCCCATATTATAAGTGTTCCATTCCATGTTATAATTGATTTTCTAATTATTTTTGAAGGAACGTTATACTTGAACACACTGGAGAAGGGAAAAGGCATAGCAAAAGAGTCAAAACTTTCTATATATATACACACACACACACTTAGTTCCCTTCTTTATCCTTAGTTTTTATATATTGATTGTTATGTTTTTAGACATTGAGGACAATATCTAAGTTTGGGGATGAAAAAACATTGAATTTTTATTTGTTTTGTGTGCTTGTTCAAGTGCCAAAAAAATTGATATATATATATATATATATATATATATATATATATATTCGCATTTAATTGGACCTCGCTCTCGCTACGGAGTGTTGCGGCGAAACACTCTGTACAGGGCAGAGAGTCTCCAATTTTTTGGGAATTATTTTTTTTAGGGGACGTCCTTTTGGTAATTTGGCCATAACTTTGGGTACGGTTATCAGAATCGCGCCTATGACCCCAATTCGAAAAGCTCTTTTCGACGCGCACATCGTGGTCACTAGCTTTGCTAGGTGGGCATCATTTTCGAGGTCAAAATCTGTTGTTTTCCCTTCCAAATCCCCAATTATAGTTATTCTCTTCCTTTTACGACATTTTTTATTTCTATATATATATATATATATATATATATATTTTCAGCTTATTTATTGCTTCTGTGTATTGATGATAATTTTGCCTACTATAATGAATATATTTAAAACCATGTATTAGGCTATAAACTATGGAAAAGTTGCATGTTAGGGTTGATTTATGCTTATTAATGTAAAACTTAATAATTTTTAGTACAAAATTTATGTTTTGGGGTAATTGGCACAAAACGTCCCTACTTTTTAAGTTTATTGTGGAAAATGTCCTTACCTTTCATTTTTTTGACATTTTTACCCTTACCTTTTACCTTTCTTTGTGCTGAATGTCATTTTCATCAATTTTTAACATAAAATGACCAATATACCCTCATATTTAAATAAAACAAAAAACAAAAGAAAAACAAAAAATAAATTGGAACTTTATGCCCAAACTTTTTAAAAAGTGCAAATAACCCACCAAAATAACTTCACTTTCTTTCCACACCTCACCCCATCCCACTATCGCCTACTAGTCATTTTTAACCACCTTCCCACCACCAAAACCACTAGATATTAACATCAATGGAAATCCCTTAACCTCCTCTACATTTACCATCCAACAACTCTCCATAGTTGGAGCAAAGACATCAAAAGAAGTAGTAATTGGAGATGAAAAACTCCCATTGCGTAACCAGACCTAATTAGAGTTGAATCCAGCATTTGGGTTGTAAATTGGCTTAATTGTTTGTTGACCCATGGGTTTTCCATCATCAATTTAGGTTATAATTGTCGAATTGAACATTTGGAGTACCATAGATTCATCAAATTTCTTGGTCCCAAATTTTTCGCATAAGATCCGAAGTTCATCCACGAATTCAACTTATTTTGGATGAAATTGGCCTTGACCCATGGTTGGGAAAGGTGAATCAGAGGGAGACGAGTTTAGCCCATGTGTTGACCGGAGAAAGCTAGAATCTGCTATATTTGGCTGGTGAAGTGGGTTCGCGACTGGTGGTACTTCTAAAATAAATTCAGATTGTTGGAGTGACGTTTTGGTGAATTGAGGCCATGGCTATAACCGACAGGGTGTGGGTAATCGTCAGGTGGGGGTCCGTGATCTAGGTCGTGGCCTAAGAAGGAGATTCTGGCAGATTTTAGATTTTTAGTCAACTGCCTTTGAGAGTTGATTCCGAAAAGATTAGTTGGTGTTTATAGGGAGTTGTTGGGTAGTAATTGTGGAGGAAGTTAAGGTCTTTTCGTTGATGTCTATATTCAGTAGTTTTGGTGGTCAAAAAGTGGCTGAAAA